GTCTTTACAGAAGCGAACGCCAGGCCTTTCTTCCGCCGTGCTGCTGAATGAGCCGGAAGCGTCCATCCCCGTTTAGGTCAGCGTCAAGTGCAAACTTTGCACGCAGGGATTTGAGGGAAGCAAAAGGGTTTCTGTGTTTCTCAGAAGGACAGTGGTCGGTGGAGGAAGGTCTTCTGATTTTCACCTCCTACAGAAACAGGTGCCTCATGGCGCAGTGGGTTAAGCTTTAGGCTGCTGACCGGAAGGTTGAAGGTTCGAACCCACCAGCTGTCCCATGGTAGACTGGTGAGGCAGGCTGTTTCCCTCAAGATGGACAGCTTCAAAAAGCCTTTGGGGACCATTCGACTCTGTCCTGTAAGGTCACTATGAGTGGATGGCCAGCAGTGGCCTTTGGGTTTGGGCGAGAAGCTGATTCCTGCTGCCCATGAGGAACTGGTTCGGTGCCAGCGGGTGGGGCTTGGCTTCTTGGACAGGAGCAAAGGCTGCCCTTTATTTTAGGAGCTCTGGGGGAGTTCTCCTTAGGGAGAGTTTGTAAACAGAGACTTCAGTGAAGGAAGTGAGCAGTCCCGAGTAGGGCGGCTGGCAGAGGCATGGAGAATGGGGGCTGGGGTGGCATGGGGGTGCTCTGTCTGATCTTGTTTCCCATTTTTAATTTTGAAAGAGCCTGTGGTCGTCCAAAGGAGACCCGGTGGGGCACGAATGCTTGGCCTTTTGAAAACACCCCTGAGTCCCCCTGGCCATCTCCTACTGCCATCCTAGGAAGTCACTAGTAGCTCCGAACACCAGCAGCATGACTTGATGCGGCAGTTCATCCTTCCGGAGCCACTGCCTTCGGACAGGCCCACCCTTCTTCCCCTCCCCCCACTTTCTCCCCCTTTGCTCTTGCCTCCCCCTCCCCTCCCGGGCACTGCCTGCTGTGTTTTCTTGGTCTCTAAACCACCCCCTCCCCACCCCACCCTCATAACACTTTCTTCTCTTCCAAAGTGCAGCCTTTGGAAACAGCGGTTGCTGTGTTTATTTTCCTGTCTGTCGGGTCTCGCTTAGATTACAGGGATCTGTGAGGTGATGCCCACTCCGGTCAAGGCCAGGCACCCACCTGGGGGCCACGCTTGTTTTTCTGTTTTTCAATCTACTGCCTTTGCAGGTATGTCTTCAGGGCCAGGACGCACAGCTGTGCCCTTTGTCACCTGGTTTACGTGCTCTTTGCCGGGGTCTTCCAGAGGAATCCTCTCCTTCTCTACTGGCTTCAATAATCCATTGCAATGGCCAGACAGAACTCATAGGCAGGACTCACAATGACAGGGCCTATTAGGAAAGTGGCAGGTCACAAGTCAGGACCAGGAATGACTCAGGATACAGTTCAACCCTGTCTTACAGGGTGGCTGTCAGTCGGTGTCAACTCAATGGCAGTGCGTAGACTCAGTCACTGGGTGGGAGTTACAAAGATCGTCCTAGAAGTGCCATATAAAGCAACTCATCGCTCTTATCATCTAAAGCAGGTCTTCTCTGGCAGACCCATGTGAGCACCTACTGTGCACCAGGTCCTGGGCCACAGCCTGAGTGACCCTGACTGGCCCCGCCTACACTCATCCGAGCCTACACTCTCCCAGTTAATGAGCATTGTTCATAAGATCGAAAAGAAAAGTTCACTTTGTCTCCTAGGACCTCCTCCTCTTGGCTTCTATTGATGCTTCTGCCCAGTGGACTCTTGGGACTGTTCCAGAACATAGGCTTTTCATTCCTAGCGTGTCCGCAGGTATCAGAACCATGGGCAGGCGACCGCACCGGCCTATGTAGATAGTGAAGAGCCACCTCTCATTGGCTGAGTTGAACCCAAAGGCCCGTGAACCTAAGGGGGCTAGCCGTTTCAGGATGGGGTGAACCCCTGCTTAGTGACTTCTTCCCACGCGTCCCACTCCTGCACCAGAGGCAAGCATTGGTCTTTGAGAAGCGTGGCTTATTAATTTTGCATAGTGAACGGTAACCTGTGTTTTTATGGGGGCTTTTACTCCTCCAGAGACCCTGTCAGTCAGTCAGCTTCCTGGTGGTTTGTCTGTCTGACTCTGGGCAGCCCCGACGGGGTGGAAGTGGGGAGCCAGAACAGTGAGCTCCATGACCCTGTCGCCTGCCCCACGAGGATGAAGGAGGGAGACTGGCAGTCAGGGCCCCCATACCCTGAGAGGAACCCCGGGGTGCCCTGCTCCTGACGTGGGATATGTGGCAACTTCTCAATGCAGCTAAAAGAAGCCCAAATCGAAATGCAAACATCCGCATTCGGATACCAGCTGCCTGATGGCCGGCACGCTTGAGCCCCTCGTTGCTGCCCCTGTGAACTTTCCAATCTCGGGGGTGGGGTGGGGGTGGGGCTCGTCTTCCAGCTCCAACCCGGACAACATTCTGTGGTGAGCCATGAGTGTTCACTGACTGATTTTCAGAAGTAGATCCCCAGAGTGTCTCCCTGGAAGCCCGGCAGGAACGATGGGGACCCCTTCTGGACTGTGAGGTGCTTCAGGGTTCCCCTGCCCACCCCAGCAGCGTGCAGCCGCCACGGTGGGGCAGACCAGCCGCCAGGGCTGGCTCGGGTGAAGAGAGCAAACTGCACGGTTGCAACTGTGTTTTTTAACTCGTGGACAAAAAGGCAGGAAGGAAATCCCAGGCCTTTGCAAATCCATACAGTCATGGAAATAGAAGGGTGTGCAAAACATTGGGCTTGAACCCTGCGTTTTGAACCCGTTAAAATTAAGTCCTCAGACCACAAGTGAACTGCCTTTTCAGACGTGACCCAAAAGTTTTCTTTTGCTTCAAGGCCAATTTTCACAAAGCCACCACATCTTTACCCTTCTCAAGCATTCTGGTATGCACCATGGCAACTGAGAGCGGTGGAGAGGGGCGGTGTGAGCACAGAGCAAGACAGGCTCAAATGTTTTCTTGGTCAAGTGATGCTCTGTCTAGCCTGAACTTTCAAGTCACTTACGATGGGTCAAACTTCCAGAAACGAATCCGTGACCCTCCAGAAGTCTTGAAATGCACAGTATTTACAGGAGTTTTCTAAAAACAAAAAGCCAAACTCACTGCCAACGAGTTGATGGTGACGCGCAGCGATCCTATAGGACAAGGGTCGAACTGCCCCTGCCAGTTGTTGAGACTTTAACTCCTTAGGGGAGTAGAAAGCCCCATTGTTCTCCCTCGAGCGGCTGGTGGTTTCGAACTGCTGGCTTGGCAGTTAGCAGCCCATCGCGTAACCACTACACCGCCAGGGCGCCGGTTTTCTAGAAAGGAAAGGTTAAAAGAAAGTGAAGATCACCTGAGAAGTGAGAAGGTAGCAGACAACATTGGGAAATACCTGTTAAGGGGATTTTAAAAGGTTAAAACTAAGTCCATGACCCCCAGGGCTGTTTTTGCAATCCTTCTCTAAGTCTAAAATGCCCAAACAGAAAGGAAAACCATTCATGAAATGAAAGGTTAACATAAATGTGGGGTAAAGATGGCAATAAACATCGTGAAATAATAATAAAGCCAAAGCCCACTGCCCTGAGTTGATCTTGACTCCTGGCCACCCTCTCGGACAGAGTTGAGCTGCTTCATGGAACGTCAGAGGCTGTAAATCTTTATAGGAGCAAACGGCCACCTCTCTCTCCTGAGGAGCAGTGACTGATAGGTTCAAACCGCCCCCCAGTCAGTTGACATTTTTAAAGGGTAAGGAGTAAAAATCAAGAGCAAAAAAAAAAAATGTTTAAGTTTAGAGGGAGGAAGGGAAGGGAAGTAGCACAGGGCGTCTTACAAGATGAAGATAAAAATAAATCTAAAGTAGAACAGCCACCGTCGGAGAGCGAGCGCTGTGAGTCAGAATGGACTCCGAGGGCAGGGAGTTGTAGTTATCGTAGAATGGGAAAAAAAATAAACCAAACCCACAGCCGGCGGTCGGTGGGCCCTGGCAGAGGAGAACTGCCCCCAGGGTTCCCACGGCAGTCGGTCTTTACAGCAACGGGCAGCCCCCTCTCTCGCCGGCCGAGGAGCTGGGGGAACCCAACTGCTGACCTCACACGGAGCCACCAGACTGTGACTCGCTCTACCCCCCCCTCCTTTAGGAGGGTATCCTCCTCCCCCCTGCCAAAAGATAGGAGAGTCCAAAGACAGAAGTGGACCTGTGAAATAATACGGTAAGTCACGGCTGCACAAGTCAGAGAGAAGTGGCCGGAAGCTCAAGTGCAGAGTTCTTTAAATAAGGAGGAATCTATGCTAACTAAAGGAGACATCACAGGGTAAGAAGATGAGTCTGCAACTGAGTCTCAAGCTGGGCTGTTAGGGAAAGGAGTGACATGCTGGTCTTAGCCCCAAAGCCTCACACCTCCCAGAGGGACACCCCCACCCTGGGGCCTCCTCAAGATTTAATCAGGCCACCAGAGCATCCGTCCTGGGAATGGATACCCGAAGATCCTAGTAGACCCCAGTGAGTGAAGGCCGCAGCCCCGACCTCCAGAGAGGCCCACTGAGTTCGAACCTGAGGGATTCGTGACACCCACTTGGGTCCAGTTGGTCTCTGCTGTGGGGTTGTGGAGTGAATGAACACGCTCCTCTCTGGGCCTCACGTCCTCTCGGGAACTGCCCAGCCAGTGCCATCCCTGCGCTGCCCACTACCATCCTCTTCATAAAGCTCTTGTCGGCAGTATGTCTGTGTAATGAAGCGGAAGGAGTGCTGGGAGTAATGACAAGTCAGGCTGGCCGAACCGCCCCCCGATGGTTCTGAACTGGGTCTGAGGTGATGTTGGTGGGTTAAAAGCGCAGACAGGTAAATAACACTTGGGCAGGGGTGGAGCGGTTGGGGGCTCAGGTGGGGTTGGAGGAGCTGGAGCCTGTCTTGAGCTGGGGAGAGGGCTGCTCCTCCTCCTCCTCTCGCCCCCCTCCCTGTGCCCTGCCCCCACCCCCACACCCCTACGAGGTGCTCACTTAGGTGCCTCGGCTGCCACCCTGCTCCTCACCCTACCATCTCCCTCCTCCAGGTGAGCTGACTATCGGGATGGCTGAGCCGCGCCAGGAGTTCAATGCGATGGAGGATCACGCGGGGTCCTACGGGCTGGGGGACAGGAAGGATCTCCCCTCTCAAGGGGGCTACACTCTGCTGCACGACCATGACGGGGATGCCGACCACGGGCTGAAAGGTGAGTGGGGTCAGTGCACCCGCTTGCTTTGGTAAGAGCTGGGGGGAAGGGTTCAAACCCAGATGTTAAAAGTGTCATTGAAACAGCCCTTTGGGGTTGGCTTGTTAAGTGAGTGACGCCTCCGTTCATGGCACCAGACCAAGATACTATGTTGCGGTTATTTGAAAATGTGCCTTTCCTATCATGTTCGCCCTGCATTGGACTCCTCTCAGTGCTTTCTCTCAGCTACGTCGCACTTGATACATGATAGTGGGACGGGAGGAAAGTAACAAGAAACAGAGGAAATAACTAGGAGGCAAAAGACATTTATAGAGGTACAAACATAGGTATGCATATATGTAAATGTATTAATAGGGATATAGGTCTATACATATATTTAAGTGTTAAGTATTAAGGTAGCAGATGGGCATTGGGTCTCTACTCAAGTACTCCCTCAGTGCAAGAATATTTGTTCTAATAACCTGGTATTCTGTGATGCTCACCTTCCCAACACGATCACTGAAAATAAAATGGGTGCATAGCAAATGTGGTGAAGAAAGCTGATGGTGCCCGGCTATTAAAAGATCTAGTGTCTGGGGTCTTAAAGGCTTGAAGATAAACAAGTGGCCATCTAGCAGAGAAGCAACTAAGCCCACATGGAAGAAGCACACCAGCCTGTGTGATCATGAGGTGTCAGCAGGATCAGGTGACAGGCATCAGAGGACCCAAAACAAACAAATATTGATGCAAATGATGGGGGTTGGAGAGGAGACCTAAAGCCCATCTGTAGGCAATTGGACATTCCCTCACAGAAGGGTCGCAAGGAAGGAACAAGTCAGCTAGGGTGCAGTATAGCACTGATAGAACACACAACATTCCTCTAGTTCTTTAATGCTTCCTCCCCCGCTATCATGACCCAGTTCTACCTTACAAATCTGGCTATACCGGAATATGTACACTGGTACAGATCAGAGCTCCCCACACACAGAATCCAGGACAGATAAACCCCTCGGGAACAGTAATGGGAGTACCGACACAATGAGCGTGGGGAGAAGGGGGAGAAATGGGGAACCATCTTCAATGATAGATATATAACCCACCCCCCGGGCATGAACAACAGAAATGTTGTCAACAAGAGACAGTGGACGGTGTAAGACATGAAAATAATAATAATAATGATTTATAATTTATCAGGGGTCCATGAGGATAGGAGGGTGGGGGAGGGAGGGAGAAAAAAGAGGAGCCGATACCAAGGGCTCAAGCAGAAAGAAAATGTTTTGAAAATGACGATGGCAACAAATGTACAAATGTCCTTGGCACGATAAATGGATGTATGGATTGTGATAGAGTTGTACGAGCCCCAATAAAATGAGTTAAAAAGAATGCATGATAATAATGGGGACAGAGGTGGGGTGTACGGGGCTTTTCGTTACTACCATTAACCTCTTCCTGTAAATTGCTGCCCTGAGATAAAAGATTTATTCAAGAAAATTAGGGGAAAGTGTTTTTCCCACCATCCCTTCTTGAGTGGGAATTCACAGGGAATCCGTTTGCTTCTGAAGGGCATCTGCTACAGCTCGTCCACCTTTAACATAAAGCATGATCAGAGGTTGCATGTCTGTGTACGTGCGTATCTCTTCATCCATATGGCAGCTTTTAAAGTGGTCATCTTTTGGAAACTGCTGTGAAAGAAATGCATTTTATGATCATGTGTTGCATCCAAAGATTATGCTTCCCAAGAAAGCAAGCAATTCCCAGGAGCGGTTCGTCATTCTTTAGACATCAGCTCCTGGGAGTTTCAGTTGAGCTAGTTTGGAAGGGAGTGACCGATTGGGCTTGGCAGCGACATTTTCGCTAAGGGACAGAAGACTGTGTTGCATAATAACGAGAACCCATGCGTTCTCCAGCAAAAGTGTCCTGAGTGGAGGTCGGCGTCAGAGGAGGGTGTCAAGGAGCTGGACAGTGGGGTGAAAGTTGGGCGCTGATAAAGTAATGCACCCCGACAAATTCATGGAGTCCTGAGTGGCACAGCAGACGTAAGCTCTCAACTACTAAACCAAGAGGTGGGTGGTTCGGATTCACCCCAAGGCACCTCGGCTGCAAGGCCTGGTGACTGAATTCTGGAAGACCCCCAGCCGCTGAACCCCAGGGCTGGGCAGTGGCACACCTGGAGTCACCATGAATCAGAATCCGTGCAACGCAAGTTTGGGGTTTGTTCGGTTATTTTTAATGAATGGGTAAGCGTGGAGGGATTACCGTATAGTTTAACAAGAACAATGTAAACGATGAAGACTGCAGCTGATGAGGGGTGTCTGGGGGACAGGCGTGCTGGGGGCCCTCTTCTTGCCCATGTTATCCCATGGGAGAAGTCCGACAGTATGCTGCCTCCTCGCCATTTGTCTCATGGCCTCTGGAGGCAGCTGGCAGGATTCCTCCCCTGGGCCCGCAGGTCAGGGAGCTGTGTGGCTGCCGGAAACCTGCTGAGAATTGGCCAAGAGCGTCTGACCCCACCGTGCATTGCACCCCACTTGTTTAGTTCGTCTCGGAGCCCTGCTGTGCGCACAGTCAGCGCCTGTCCTGAAACGCAGCCAAAGGCCACCTCCCTTCCCAGGCAGAGAAGGTCTCGGAGCCCCCCTGTGTCTCCCTGAGTTTTTCTCGCTGGCCTGCACCTCTGGTTGTGGGTGTCGTGGGGACTCCTGGAGAGGAGCTTCCATGCCAGCTCTGGGCCTTGCTCAGGACCCCACTCCTGCCCCACTCAGTAAAAATGCCCCCATTGTCTTGTGCCTTTCCAGTATCTTCTTTTACCCACAACTCCACGCTCATCCCCTATCCAGCCTGCCTTGGTGCCTGAGGGTTGGATCCTCCTCCTGGAGTCTCTAGCTCAGATGTCCTCCAGCCTCCCAGTTGTGGCTTTGCCCCAGCACAGTGACAGCTGAGTCTCTAGTTCAACCACGAGGACATCACGGAGTGTCCTGGCCACCCCTGAAACCTAACAAGTCAAAGCCATACTCTGCACCGCGCTCCCCGAGCCCCGGCCATTCCTGGATTCTCCACTCTTGTCAGCAGCAGCGGTACCGTCAACCAGTCAACGTATGACCTGTCAGCCCTTCATCACACCCCCACCACAGCCCCACAGAGCACCAGGATCTCCCCCTCCGCCACCCGGCCCAGGCCTTCTCACGGCAAACCTTGATGTGCCCCTACATATAAAGAAGTAGAGGTGTCAGTCGGCTCAAAGAAAGACTCAAACTCATTGCCATCGGAGTCCATTCCGACTCACAGCCAACTCTACAAGGACGGAACAGAACCACCCCTGTGGGCTTTCCAGACGGCCACTCTTTTTTTTTTTTTTTTAAATCGTTTTATTAGGGGCTCATACAACTCTTATCACAATCCATACATACAGCAATTGTGTAAAGCACATTTGTACATTCATTGCCCTCATCATTCTCAAAACATTTCCTCTCCACTTAAATCCCCGGCATTAGGTCCTCATTTTTCCCCTCCTTCCCCCTCCCCCCTCCCTCATGAGCCCTTGATAGTTTATAAATTGTTATTTTGTCATATCTTGCCCTGTCCAACGTCTCCCTTAACCCACTTTTCTGTTGTCCGTCCCCCAGGGAGGAGGTCACACATAGTTCCTTGTAATCAGTTCTCTCTTTCCTACCCACTCTCCCTCTACCCTCCCTGTTTTGCCACTCACACCACTGGTCCTGTAGGGCTCATCCGCCCTGGATTCCCTGTATTTCCAGTTCCTATCTGTACCAGTGTACATCCTCTGGTCCAGCCAGACTTGCAAGGTCGAATTTGAGTCATGGTAGTGGGAGCGGGGAGGAAACATTTAGGAACTAGAGGAAAGTTGTATTTCTCATCGTTGTTACATCACACCCTGACTGGCTCATCTCCTCCCTGAGACCCCTCTGCAAGGGGATCTCCAGTGGCCTACTAATGGGCTTTGGGTCTCCACGCCGCACTCCCCCGCAGACAGCCACTCTTGATGAGAGTAGACACTCTCGTCTTCTCCTCACAAAACCGAAGCCCGGCAGTCAACGGGCCGGGCTGCTGAGCCACTCCGGGTTGCGGGGAGGAGATGCTCGTCCTTCCCTGTCTTTATCTTCACTGTTGAGAGCCTGGGGGCTCCATCCACACCGGAGCTCAAGGAAACAGGAAGCGGGTGGGCACTTCCAGCTGTTTGCAAGAGTTTCTTCCAGGGTCTCATCGGCCACCTCTCCCTGCCCAGAGGCTGGAAGTGCTGGCCTTCCAATGGGCAGCGTGCCATCCTGACCCAAGCTGGGGCTCTGTAATGGTGAAGGGGGGCGGGGAGCATGGACACTGTGTAGCCACACAAAGGGGCTTTGTCCCCCTTTGTACCGTGCTTAATGAGGTATTCATCTCATTAAGGTTGGGACTGAAAAGTGATGCTTGACTTCTCCTGAGATGGCCAGAGGCTGTCCTTCCATCCGAGTTCATTGATCAGCTACCTACCTGCCCAGGAGCCCCTGGGGGCTCCCAGCCAACCTCTGCACTGCGATCACCACCTCCCTTATCAGCATTAGCACATACACACACAAAATACTCAAGTTCCCGTTAGTGGGCAGTGCTAACTGGGCCCTTTAACCAACAGGGCATAATAATGCCTGCACTAGTGATGGCAATTGCTACCACCACTTCTCATGGGCCAGGCACCGTACTAAGTGCTTTTAATAAGCTTCAAGGAGCTTCATCTTCATGGCAGCCCTCTGAAAGGGGAGGTTAAGCCACTCCTCTAGAGGGCCACAGGCCCTGCTCCCCACCTGCCATCTAGCTCCCTGCCCCCACACTTCAGTCCAAGCCATGAATAGGACAGTGGGTGGCAGGGACGAGCCATGCTGTTCCCACGTGCATGGAGAGTGAGCGCTTCCTCACACAGGTGAGGTGTCCACCGAACCAAGATCTAAGGAGTATTGGCCTGGTGGCTGGGGCGCCACTTGGAAGGCCACAGAGGATTTTCTAGGCACACAGGGATGCTTGGGAGAAGAAAG